AATAGGAGAAAGATTTCTATTTTGTAGAAATATAGGGTTTATATTTTGCTTCTTCTCCAAGGCCAAGACTAAGTATAGCAAGAGTGAGGCCTACAACATGCAGCTTAAGAAAGAGCAACCCCAACGGACACTGCCTCTTTAACCTGCGCAACACCCTCCCTCCCAGGACTCACCCTAGTCTGATCCTACTCTTCCACTTGTATGCACTCAAATGCAGCTTCCTTTTGGGATTTAGATTTACAGAGCCAGAGAGTAGTTGTGAGGGCAATGTTAGGGGAAGGCTTACAGACCCCTTTTCCCACCCCATAAACAGGGAACAATCACACCAATGGTCACTGTGATTTAATCATTTTTGCCTTGCTATGATCAGGCCCACCCATCCGATTATGGTGCATTGGTAGTGCACACAAAGGGCTCTTCCAGGTAATTGGGTGATGACTTCAGGGCAATTAGTGCTAAGTTACCTTCACAAAAACCCTGATGGGTCCTTGGAAAAGGGCAATTTTCATTCCATTGATTGGCATTTTATATTGGAGAAAAAAATCCCAATCTTTCTCTACAGAACATTATGATAAGTCATTTAATTAGCATCATGATAATTTTGTTCAATGAGTTATAGTTCTTTGCTGATCAGATGCACTGGGCCCAATGGGTTGCAATAAGCTCTTTCAGGGTACTTGGTATCTTCTCAACACTTTGTGTCCAGGCACGTGCTTCACAGATAGTAGATGCTCAATAAATCATCATTCATTGGATATATGAATGAAGAAACATCAAGCTATTCAGAAATTAAATACTTGGCTTCTCAGAGCCTAGGCCCTTTAAGAATCAGAAAGGGCAGAGCTGGGAATATGACTGAATGATTGAAACCAATCACTGCGGCTCCCATCCTGCAGTAGCCAATCATTCTTCAGGCTTCTGCTGACATGCGTGTGTTCATGTCCTGGGTTGTGAGAGTCTGAGTTTCTAACTCTCAATGCCTATGCTGCCTGACTTGGTGTTTTACCCTTTCTACCTCTATCTTTTTCTTCCTCAACCCATGTCAACTGGCAGGGCCATGGATGGAATCAACTTCTGAAACTCTGGCCTTGAATTTAAGGTGATCCTCTTATCCTGGATTCTGACTGGCAACTATAATCATTGGCTTCTGCCTTGGGATAGCTCAAACATACCACCTACCCTGGCAACTCACTGGCGAAGAGCCCTTTTGCACATTCTGGGGTCCTGGTGCTACTCTCAGCTGCCATCTTGAGATTTCTGCCATCACTGACATGCCTCATACCCTGCTGCCACCCCCTGGAGATTGTTAATCCTCATATGCTCCCAAGATCTTTAAGTCTGCTTCCCTCAATCAACCTTAACACACTGTATGATGCTTAGTGTGAATGCAGATATTGCTATATTGCAGAGATATGAACCCAGAAAAATGCACAGCTGAGTAATTAGCATAACGAAGCAAATGAGCAGTAGTTGGAGTAAATGCCTATCTGCTATTGACATTCAAAGAAGCTGGAGCCAACTGGATGAAATGACCCAAGTTTACTCATAAGTTTGTGCATTCAGCATGTGAAAATCTTTTAAGTTTGGAGCTGGCATCTTTAGACACAGTGAAATACCAGTAGCCTCCCTTTGGCACCAGTGCTGCGGTTAACTTGGAAACCATACCAAAATATCATCTATTTTCTTCTTCATTGTCAGTAAGTAAATGGCAGTGTTTCTTTCTAAGGTCGCTGAAAAATCCAAATAAAGACCATTTTATTCAGCTTGATACCACAGTTAGTTTAGTTTATAAATATTGGACAGATGGAGTAGCTGAGATAAAACCAAAGCTCTAAAATACATTTTCAATGAGTTTTGATGATCTTTACATATCTAAGTTTCCACAGAAGTCAGTATGGAAACAGTCGTGGAGGAAATAAGAGAACGGCAGAGCTGACATCTCACACCAGGTAAATCTAGCACATTTAGCAACAGTTTGACCATAGTAACCAAGAGCTAAAAAATGCTGAAATAATTTGAACTAATAATTTCAAATCCATCTTGAAAAGTAAGGATTCCTGAATAAAAATGCTTATTATAACTTTTCATATGATAGTGATTGACAATCAACTAAATGCCCAAAATAAGAGAATGGTTAAATAAATTATGATACAGACACACAATAGAATAACAGGTAGTCTTTACAAGCATGTTTGTGAGTCTCTTTAATAATATGGGGAAATATTCAAGCTATAAAGTTAAATGACAAAGGAATAAAAAGTTGTACATGCAATTTTACCTAAATTATATTAAAATAATATTTTGTACAGAAAAGACAAGATGGTAATACACTAAGACATGCACACTGTTTATCTCTGCATGATGAGACAGTGGGTAACTTCTGTACTCCTATTTATATGTGGTGCTATCATAGGTGAGGTATTAGTTGCTCTTAACTATGTGCCTTATTTTTTCAGCATCAGCTAAACAGCTGAATACCAAGTGTCATCTAATCTACTTAATGCTTTAGAAATTGTCACCAATGGAAGGTCCCAGAACAAAGGTACAGAAAGAAATGCTCCATGTATAAGGCAGAAGTGCTGAGAGGTTTATGATCAGACAGAATTTTTCCTCCTTGTATGCTCAGGTTAGAATGGTAAAAGAACCAGTCCCAGACAAGTGTGGCAATCACACAGCAGAGGAGACCTAGGTTCACTTCCCAGGAGCAGGGGGGCAGCACAGGGAGACATCACATTGCAGGGCAAAACCTCCTGAGGAGAATGGTGGCACCAGGACAGTGCAGCGGCCATGAATGCACTGGTGTCCAGGCAGGTCAGTTGAAGGCTGATTTTTAAATGTCCTGGTTCATTGTGTGGGCACAGTAGCCTGGCTTCCCCAGGATTAAAGAAGGGGTGGTGTCTAGCTGAGAGGGGGCCTGTGGTCTCGAAAGAGTGTCATGGCTGGAATAGGAGACCTCTGATCTGGGGGATGCAGGGAAGGCTGTCTTGCTATAAGTTAAAAGGGAACAAGCAAGATAGTAGCTCACAGGTAGAGCTGCCAGGTAGATGGGCCTGAGGACCAGATGAGATGCATTACCTGGCAGAAGATGCCAGCCTAGGCTTTTGCAGCAAACAAAGGTGGACACCCCTTTCCACCTTTAAAGACAGGGATGTTTGCATAAATTACTCCTTCTCAGCTCAGGCTTTTAACCCCAGTGGGGGAATAAAGCCAGAGGGAAAAGTAGTCCTAAATGGGACTAAGTTTTAATCCAAGTGAGGGAAATTAGGTTACTTGGAATTGATGAGATTAAACTTTCACAAAAGAAAGTTCACAGTCAGGAATTCAACTAAATATGGAAAATAAAGTTAGACTTTAACACACCTGAGCTTATGACTTGTGAAGTATGCCACACTGAATGTTTAGTTTCACAATATTAAAAATGCCCATATTTAGTGTTTTTTTAATAATAGAGGCACATTTATTTATTTGTTTATTTTGGTTTGTTCAAACTAGTGTCTTGCTATGAGCCCAGGCTGGCCTGGAACTTGCGAACCCCCTGCCTCAGCATCCTGAGTGCTGGGATTACAGACAGCACCAGCACATCTGGTTCATAGCATCTTTAAAGCAAAGTATAACCTACTCAAAAATAAGTTCATGAGTCAGAGCCTTGAATAAAATAGCTATAAGACTGATGGGAAGCTGGCCTTGCTAGACAACTAGAGCTCGTTCCTTGCCTCTGTGAGCCAGAAAACCCTCTCCAAAATAACTTGCGGGCTGATCACATGACCTTTGCCATTTGATTCTGTACGAATCTGTGCATAGTTGGGAGTAAATGTGGAAAATCACTTACAGCCACATTCTCTGACCTATCATTATCCCTTGCCACCCCCAACCCAATCCTGCCCCTACAAATCAATATTATTAAGCTTCTCTTTAAAGGACCCTTTTCTTTCTTTCTTTTTTTAACCAAGTTTTTTTCCTCTGAAGCAATATCAAACCGCAAAACAAACGCACCTACACACAGCAATGACCTCCAAATATTTGAAGAACATATTGGTTTTCATGTTAGGTCTTGTTAGCTCCAGGCTAAATCACACCTTTACATGAAATTTCCTAAGCCTGTCACTTTGCTGTCCACCCTCCTTTGAGGTCATACCTGGCATTGTTAAGGGCTACTTGAAAGGTAAAACCTGGCCCAGTGTTCTGGCCAGAGACACACTGTCATTCTGCTAAGGCTGCAAAGAGTAGTAAGAGGAAGCTGGGACCACAAAACTGTGGTGACAGTTACAGACACCTAGAAGACCCAGGTCAGTGCCTGTCTGTGTTGTCACCTACAGGGCTCTGGTGGTGAGGTCTGCAGAGGGGGTTGGAAACTCACATGGCTCTGATAGTCATATCCCTCCTTGTCATAGGAAGCCCCTTCTTTCATCTCCACCAAGACAAATAATATTCTTCCTTCTATTCTCCAAGGATCTTACCCAAGATCTAAGTTCTCCCATAGCTCATTGTATCTTAGCAACAACAATAGGCCTTATTCTCCCTCTAGGATCCTTGGTGGAGGAGGTAGCCTCCAGTATTAGAGGATTTTTTAAATCAAATTGCTGAATATCCCCTGCCCCTAGTATATCCCATGGCATACTAAGAGGATATGAAGTCCTCCCCACCACACTCCTGACTGGCTGTGTCCGTCCGATGCCCTCAGCTGCCGCCTCTTTCTCCTGCTGTTCCCATATTCCAAGCGGACTTTGGAGCATTTTCCACACAACAGCATTGACTTTGGCAAGTTTCTTGGGAGCCAGTGATGTCCTAACTTGTTTGCTTTTCCAGGGCTGATGTTTGCAAGGGTTATTTGGAACCAGAACTGAAATCTTTCATGTCCTTATGCAATTCCTTCCACAGGTTCCAATAGATAAATAAAGCCCCCTGCTCCTCCACTGGTCTAGCTTTCCAAGCAGAGTACCTGGATTGGTTCTCAAGTCTCCAGCTATCTGCCCACCTGCCAGGGCTTCTCAGGGGCAGCCATGAAGTCCCTTGTCTTACTCCTTTGCCTTGCTCAGCTCTGGGGTTGTCACTCAGTCCCACATAGTCTAGGGCTAGTCTATAGGCAGCCAGCTTGTGATGACCCAGAAATAGAGAAAGCAGCCCAGGTGGCCGTGGACTACCTCAATCAACACCTTCTTCATGGATACAAGCATACCTTGAACCAGATTGACAAAGCGAAGGTGTGGCCTCGGGTAAGTGAATCTGCTTTGAATGAGCTGAAAGAATCTATGTGTGGAGCCCAATCCTGTGTCTCAAAAAACCAGCAGCTCTCAGTACAAATAAAATGGCAGTGGGGAAAACTCTGATTTATTCCCAGGAGTAAAAGAAGGGGCAGGGGGAAGGCAAGAGAAGAGCATTTGGTAATGCAGTCATGGATCTCAATGAAGGTGCTGGCTGGGGGATGGGGCTGTATGGAGGACAGAAAAAAACTTCCAAGGATATTCTGGAGATCACAGGGGGAAATTATGGCTTTCTGGGAAATCCTATGGCCCAAGAGACTGGCTCCTATTTGCCAAGTTCTCATTGTCTGAAAATCATTTACTTTTCTTGGCTCCCATCTGTCTCTGATAAAAATGGAGAATAACATTTGATAAGCACCTACTGTGTACCAGGCCCTTTCACAGAGATCACCTCATTAACCTTTCCCTTTCCCAATTCCAGACCTGTGTCATAGAAAGACTGCCCTGGTCTTCATAAGAGGAAGCCAAGACCCTGATGTATTGTCATTTTCTGCTCAAGACTGTATAATTAGTAAGAAATCAGGCTGGGATCTGATTCCAGATCCGATTCCTTCCTCTACAAGCTGCCTCCCCAAAACTGTTACTCACATACCAGAGAGAAGTCTTGGCTTAAATCAGATTTGCTTTTCTGCATGCTACACAGGAAACCAAGGCAGCATAAAGCCTGTGAAATGTGCCTTGGGAATCAGTTGAGAGATTTGGAGAGGTGGAGAAAGGCACCTATTTACTGCCTGATTTGAAGTTAGATTTTCTAGTTGATTAAGGATAATTCTATCAGCAAACATTCATTTCAAGTCTTCCTTGGGCAAGAACCAGTGTCATGTGCTTTGGGAGATATTAGATATGGGTGGTAATAGACATTGAACCATTAAAATTGCCAATATTTGGCTGCTTTGGGCATATAAAATTGCCAATTCTTTATGGTTTAACTTAATACAAAGGTAAGAAAGACAATTTGTGTCACAAGAGATTTACAAACTAGGAGGAAAAATAAGCCAAACATAATAAGGGTGCCTGGACTGATGACTGATGTCTGATGTCACAAAGGGACAAAAATCTTTGAATCCAGGATTTTCCTGGGTGAATTTTAAGAGTGATTCAACCACAGTACAATATAATACTAATTCAGAAGGAATGCCAATCAATTCAGGGGAAATAAAAACACAGCTTGCATATTTGAGAGAAAAGGCAATGGTGAGCGTGGTGATTTTCAGTAAGGGCAGAGCTTGAGGGTTACTCTTCCTTTCCTCAAGAAGCCCAAGTGTGGCCAGCTCTTAGACGCTGCAGCTCTGAATCTCTTCAGAAAGTCACTTGGGATATACCTGCACATCATAACATGCAGAGTCTTGGTTGGGAAAGGAGATTCTGGGACTTCAGATACTACTGAGTCAGGCACAGTTGAAATGATAAGAAAACTGCTGGGCTGAGATTGTTTCCCAGATTTTCTGGATTCTCCAGGCTTTGAAGAAAAGGGTACATAGACAGATGAATTGATATGAACAACTCCAAGGAGTTATGCAAGTTTTCCAGATTGCATCTAGACTAGTTTTCTGAGTGTCAGAGTAGTTTTGTGGTTTCTTCTCATCACCGGCAGAAGGCAGTAGAGAGCAGCCTCTGTGCATCTACAAGTCAAAAGACAAAGGAAAAGTCAAAGACAATAGCAACAGAAAAATTTTAAGAAGGAAAAGAAAATGGGGAAAGGAAGGAAGGTAAATGATTGAAAGGGAAGGAAGAATGAAGTAGAGGGAGGGATAAAGAAACTAAGTTATTTACCCTATACCACCTTTGACTAAGGAAATCCAAAGTCAACGTTTTCAAAGCACTGCTTGAAGGGTAAATTTTTTTTTTTTGCTGTAGTGGGTCTGAACTCAGGGCCTTATTTGCCCTGGGGCTGGCTTCGAACTACGATCCTCCTGATCTCTGTGTCCTGAGTAGCTAGGATTACAGACGTGAGCCACCAGCGCCCTGCTAGAAGGGTGAAATTTTTTAAATTAAAAAAATATCAACACACATTTCAGTTTTCTAAATTGAGCTCAGAGTGAGGACTGTAGCTCCAGCCCTTGTCTGAGACCACTGCCCTCTTTGCTTGAAGCACCATTTAGCACTTGCTGTCAACAGAGGAAGATCAGAGACTCTGGTTGTGGTCCTGATCACAGGCCAGTGCAGAGTTAGATGGAGCTGTGAAATGGGAATGACTTCTCCCTCAAGTCTGCAAAGGGGGTGTGGGCAAGCCCCGTGGGGGCTCAAGACTTTGGCTGACACAACAAGATGGATCAGTGGGTGGGCTGCTCACCTCTTCATTCTCTGTCCACAGCGGCCCTTCGGAGAGGTGTATGAGCTTGAGATAGACACTCTGGAGACCACCTGCCATGCACGGGACCCCACGCCGTTGGCAAACTGCCCTGTGAGGCAGGTGTCCCAGCATGTGAGTGCCCTTCTTATGGCAGCTGTAATAGTGTCCCATGGTTCAACAAAGAGCAGACCCATTTTATCCCAACTGCTTTCTTGGCTAACTAGAGTGCAGTTTCTAAAACTATCATTGGATGCTGACTTTTACAACAGGTCAACTCTCTTGCTGTAGGTCTTCTTGAAAACAGAGTATAATATTTCAGTATTATGCATGTGAGGGTCACCTTTGACAGCCATGCCTGGGGGAGGGGTCTCCCAGGGTGAGCAGGGACCAGTGTTCCTGGGTCCTCACTATGGGTTTTTTGGTTTTGGGTTTTCTTTCTCCAGGCGGTGGAAGGAGACTGTGACTTCCATGTTCTGAAACAGGATAACCAGCTTACCGTATTGCATGCAAAATGTCATTCCACTCCAGGTACAGATGAGTCCTCCTCTTGTTATTTTTATCTTGTACAGAGAGTAAAGAATCTAATTTGTTTTGAACCCAAGTAGTTCCAGTCACTTGTGAGTGAGGAAAAGAAGCCAAACTTCTTGGCTTCTGGGATTTCAAACCCATTTTTTAAGCAGCTGTCCTCATCGGAGGTGAAAATTGCACTGTGATAATAGGGACTTCCGCAGAAACTTCAAACACAACACAACTATTTGAAGGTTTAGTTGAGAGGCAAACAAACAAACAAAAAACAACGGAGCATGTCTTAGCCTTCTGTAAACGAGTGGAATTGGAGTGAATGTCATGGAGAATCACAGTGAAGACCCCGAGTTTTCCTTTCTGCCTAGACTCGGCCGAGGACGTGCGCAAAGTGTGCTCAGACTGTCCCCTGCTGATCCCGCTTAACGACACCAGGGTGGTGCATGCTGCCCAAGCCGCCCTGGCCGCCTTCAACGCTCGGCATAACGGATCCTATTTTAAACTGGTGGAAATTTCCCGGGCTCAACTTGTGGTAAAGAATGAGACCCTTTCGGGAGATTGGGCAGCTTGGTGGTACTTGGGAGAACGTATGTGATGACACAGTTGTGAGGGAAAAACAGGTGCGAGGTTAGCAACCAGAAGGCAAGGAGGGTGTTGGTTGGAAGGGAGGGCGGAAGGGTTCCCTAGGGGTCTGAGGACACTGAGGGTCAGGAGGATCCCCAAGCCCCTAGGCTGAGCTATTATAACATAAAGCACCAGGTACTGTAGTTAAGCACATCTTGACTTCCCTGGTTCTCGTTAAAACCGGGCGTGGTGTTCAGCGCTGGAGGTTACCATGTTATCCAGGCGCACTCGCCGCTGGCATCTGCAGTGGTTTACTAATTAATACTGACAAAGGTAGGAGTGTACTAACACTGACAGATGTATAGTGGCAGGGTCCTGAGCTGTCGTTTAAATCAGTGTGTGTTTGTAATTGTACTACAAACAGTTTAGTATATTTGAATGCAACTGAATTTTAATGTGTAAGAGATCTGATAAACTGGATACCAGCTATGGCACACTTGGGTAATAGAGTAGATAGTAATGCTGTTAGAGTACGGGATTCCCAGAATATCCCCATCCTAGACTACACCAGATAACAGACACTTCATTTTTAAGTATCTATAGACTCCAAGCATTATAAGAATGAAAAACATTAGCAATGTCTTTCATTTAGTTTTTTTCACTTGATCCTTCTGTATGAAACACACGAGGAGGGGGGTTTTTCCTTCACGTTCTCACCCCATCTTGGAGTGACCAAACTTTGGGTCTGAAAGTGCCAGCCCAAGAGTGAGGGTAAGGAAGAGGTAGGGTTCTTGCTTCTGTGTGTCTACAGTTGACCTCTGACTTCTTGTTTCCCATCTAAAAACTCACCTCCACCCTGAATGATGAGCAATGAACACCTGTTCCTCCTTAATGCAAGACCCGACTCCCACCTCTAGCTCAAGCACCTCGGAACACAATTCCCAATAATTGCCATAGGTTAGCCATTCATGGGCATGTACCCAGGGCCACACAAACTGGTCCACATAAATGGTGCTGCCTGAAGTTGTCCCATGCCATAGCCCTTGCTACTTCCCTCGAGCCTTTCCTTCTCTGCCCTTGTCATTCCAAGTTCTCCTGCTTCAAGTGCATTTTCAATTATTCTTCTCAGCCTCTTCCAGAGTCTACCCTTGTAGAGTTTGTAGTGGCTGCCACTGACTGTGTTGCTAAAGAAGTCATAGAACCAACCAATTGCAACCTGCTGGCAGAAAAGGTGAGTGGGCCAGGCCCTGGGCTGGCAAACCTACTGTAGAACAGAGCATCTTCATGTAGTTTGTATATTTGGGCTGAGGGAAGAAAATAACCATGCAAAATGTCTACTCTCTGGGTCATGCCAGACATTTCTCTGGAGTCTCATTTCCCCTTTTAAGAGTTGTCACCATGTCATGTGGCACATGGAATGAGTGGAAAGACAGAGACCATTTTCTAATGAAGCCTAGTTGTGGCCTGATGCTAGGAAGTATAGATTTCCTAGATACATCTCTGATACAAAAACTTTCAATTCTTTGAGACAGTAATGTCACATGTGGGAATTTAGCCTAAAAAGAGTGTCAGAAGTACTTCAAGAAATATCTATAAAGTTGAATTACCACAGATATCAAATGACCAAAAAAATCCAGGTGTCACTGAATAATATATGATACCTCAGTAAATAGAAAACACTGGAGGATAATGAATGACATGAGAAAATGCAATGAGAGTAAGTGAAAACACAAGACATAAAATGGTACAGTCACAATGATCTCAGGTTTGAAATTTATTTAATAGTGTTTTTAAATAGGAAAGAAGTACATACATGATAATACTAGCTCTCCCTAGATCACCACTGTTTCTGGGATTTTGGGTGTTCTCTTTCACTCTCAAAGCGGATCTGCACTTTCTATGTTAGAATTACATAGTATGTGCCTTTTATAAGCAGAAATTATGTACTATAAGAAGATCTTTTAAAGAAGAATTAAAAATTTAAGTTTCTTTACCTTATGTATTATAGTATCAATGAAACTGGGGAGAAATCCATTTTTATGTCAGTTAAATAACTCCTCTTTTTCTGGGGGCAGCAATATGGCTTCTGCAAGACAACGCTTACTGAAAAGCTTGGTGGAGAAGAGGTTGCAGTGACCTGCACAGTGTTCCATACACAGGTAAGAACTTCCTGGATATTCTTGCTCATATCTTCAGAACAGAATGACCCCTTAATGCTTATGCAGTGTGTTGGTAATAACAGGGCATTTGCTGGCCTGTTCTGAACCCCACAATGTTACATGACACTGGATACATGGAATCATCAACACAGGGAAGGATAGTTCAGCTATGTCTTTCCCTCCCATGCACTGGTGGCTGCAGGGCAGAAGCATCCTAGTGTGTAGTTGGCAAGGCCACCTTTTTATTCATGGGAGGTGGGAGTGGCTTCCTTAGCTGCAGAACTTGGTGGGCAGATCCACCTGGCAGCTCCCAGTGGCTGCGGGTTTGGATGACAAAGAGTGAAGGTTACCTGTAACTGAGCTACTTTTACTGAAGGGATAGGTTTGCATGTAACTACCATGACTAAGCTAATCCTAGTGACACCAGGATTAGGCCAGTTTCCTCTTCCCCATAACCCTGATGGGATCCTTGGTATTTGGGTAGTTCTTCTTTGCTAGATTCATCGCAAAGAAAAATCATTACAAATTGGGGAGAGGTACGACCCAGACCTGTGGGTGGTCTTGTCTGGGAGAACAAAGCAAGCTAACCTAAGGAAATGGTCCTCTCTCTAGCCTGAGGTTCCTCAGCCTCAGCCAGATGTCGCCAAAACAGCAGACCCCATCCCTGCAGTGGAGCAACCTGCACCAGCACTTCCTTCAGCTGGGCCACCTGCACCTTCCGTGACGCTGGGCCATGTGATGGTGGCAGTTCGCCCAAGGCCCCCACAGAACTGGGCACACTACGACCTGCGCAATTCCTTCTCAGGTGTGGCCTCAGCAGAGTCAGCCTCAGGAGAAGCTTTCCCCCCAGAAACACCACCTAAGGTGACCCATCCTGGTGCTGCTGGTCCAGGTGGTCCGTTGGTCCGCCCGTGCCCAGGGAAGGTCAGACACTTCAAACTGTAGCCCAGACACAGCAGAGTAAGAAGTTTTGACACAGAGGATGTAGCTACCATTTTGTCCAAGACTGGGTAAGAGTGGGGGCCTTTTCTGCTGTCAAAGCAAAGACTGCGTGTGTCTAGATTAATATCAAGGCTTTAATTCTAATTTTTCTTCATTCCTCAGAGGATAGAAGCAGAGAGGTGATGGTTATGTTTAATGGAAGGCATAAGACTGACATCATTGTCATTGTTTTGCTGATAAACCATTTATTTCCATTGTGTTCTCTGCCTTCTGGTTGACCTCATAAAAACAGTTGGAACTGTGACTTTGAAAGGTGCTCTTACTAAACTTATTTCTGCCTCTTAATAAAAGTGCCTGAAGGACCTTCCTTAATAAAAAAAATGTTCTAAACTGAAATGTGGTTATGATCATTGACTCTTCTAGCCCAGATCTACTCTTGTGTGTGGTTTGTTGTTCTAACAACCACACAAGTATTCTCACCAAAGTCTATGTGAAAAGAGAAACCTAAGAGAAAAAAGGTCAACTGTGTGGCCATACAGAGGAAAATAAGACTAGGATCTGCTCACAATCCATATGATATAACCATTTTCTTATAAGAAAACAGTTCTTTTTCATTCATAAGGGGCAGAAAATATTGCTAAGGAGGCTCAAGTGCCTGAACTTTGTACAGACAAATCAATCACTGGTTTTCACCAATTCTCAGGTAAGGATTATTAATTAACAAAGGAATCTCATGGTAGTTATATTTGTTCATTAGTTATGTTTAGAATACCAATTGAAGGTCTGGTAGAATGGCTCAAGTGGTAGAACATCTGTCTAGCAAACGTGATGCCCTGAGTTCAAATCCCTATACCACCAAAAAAAAAAAAAGCTATAATACCCATTCCGTTGAATGTACTGTATATAGTTCATTTTATAATTCAGGGTTGTCTTTCTAGTTGATATATTTTAAAAACAAAAATTTAATTTCTGGTTTACAGTAAAATGAGAGCTGGGATACCTGGTCAGGTGAATCCCGCAGACATTTGTAGACATTCTCTTAGTGCTCAGAGAACATAAGTGAATAAATAGCTACCATTACAGAATGGTGTCTAGGCAGTGCCAGTTTTTATCTATTAGTATTAAGCTGTTCTAATCCACCTCAGTGATGAGTCCTGCCAGATAGAATTTTAAAGAGACCAACAGTCAGTTGCAGGGCTACACTGAACCAAGAAGATTGAATCAAGCATTGTTATTCATTGTTATTTCTGGAGGTTTTGCCAACCTTCCAGTAACCAGACAGAATAGCCAGGAATGTAAGAAAACCACTGGGTATCCCAACAGCCAGAGAAGACAAAGGTATGGGAGCTGTGCTAAATGCTGCAGAAAGAGCACGAGGATGAGAACTGAGAAAAGTCATTGTTTTAGCAGTCTGACTTGAGGTCATGGTGACCACTGGTAGGCACAGCTGCACTAGGAGAGACAACCTGGATGTCAAGGGACAGTGTGAGGAAATGGAAGGCAAATATGTTCCCCTCTTTCAAACGAACTGATTATGAAAGGTAGGAAAGAGAAGATATAATCTAAGTGGACAAATAATGAAAAAAAGTTTATTTTAGGGAAAAGTTCTGAGCATATTTAGGGCAAAAGATAGGAAGAAACAGAAGAGAGGAAAAGAGGAGATGATGGGCAAATGCTGAGGGAGTTTTTATTTAGTGGAGAGTTCAGTCCTTCCTTGAAGGAACTTGAAGAGGCTCCTAAAAAGGCATTTTTCACCCAGGACTGCAAAAGATTCATCTACTTTCCATGCTTGTTACACATAGGTTTGGCTATGAGGGACCATGTGGAGCATTAGACAGAGTGTGTCCTTAGGCAGGCAGCAGACACACAATCCAAATCAGTTTAAATAAAAAGGGAATGCTATTTATTGTCTATGTACTGAAAATAAGTGGACAAGTCTTAACTACTGTACAACTGGATCCAGGAGTTCAAAAGATGCCATCAGATCTGACCCCACCTCTCAGCCATGCCTGCCTCTGCTTGCCTTCATTCCTACCAGGATGGCCACCCCTCACACTTACATCAGTATTAATGTCCAAGCTTGAAGGAAGAGAGAAGACCAGCCAAGACAGCCAATGGGCCAGCATTCTGGACCAGAAAAACAGCAGGCACAAGGGCTGTGTGGTAGAAAGTAGGTTGATGTGGCCAAGGATGAGAAAGGAAGCTGAATTGAAGTAAATAAAGGAGAAGCAGTGGCATGGTTTCATTTACAATAAAGATTGATTTACATTACAAGCTCTCTCAGGTTCCATGGTTCTCAACCTGGGAATGAGATGAAGTAGAACCACCATCCCTTTGGGGAGATGTTTGGAAGTAAGTGGAGGCATTTACAAATGTCTATTGACATTTAGAAGACAGAGACCAGGGATGGCAAACATTCTGAAATGGACCAGACAACCCCAACAATGAAGTCCCAGTAATGATTAATCAGCGTCTGGTGGTTAACCAAGTGCCAGTAGCATCTGCATAGTTGCTCTTTGGGAAGTGGGTTGCAGTATAGGAAGTGACTAGAACCTTCCAGGGAAAAGATAAGTGTGCTTTAGCCTAAGGCAAGAGATATGATAAAAAGAGGATATAACTCCCAGGACCTGCTGATAGACTTGACGTGGGGCTAAGAAAGCAATGAAAAATGACAGTGTCTGGATTTGTAGCTTTGCTAGCTGGGTGGATAATGGGACCATTTACTGTGGTAGGGAGCCCTAGTTCATTTTATCTGACTTGGCTCAAATTCTTTCCTCTCTATCTTAAAATTTGTGCAGTTGGCTTTTCTGTTTTGCTAACCCTACAATGATCTCATGTTTCTCAATGTGACAGTGAATTCAGACATACCTGCAAGACCTGGACCAAGTAACTTCACGTTTTCCTTCTTGCTATCCTTGTTATATAACCAGGTATATAAAACAGCCTGGGAATAAATAAGATACTACAAATATATGCATGGAACCTTCCTCACCTATTCTATGTTCTCAGAAAGTAACCTCCCTCTCTACTTTTTCCTCCTGGGCTATGAATTCGGTGACTTCAGAAGATTATGTTCTAGACCTTCTTTTAAATCTATACTCTCAATTGGGTATGTTTGTCCTCTCTCATGATTTGAACTATCAGTCTCACAGAGGTAAATTCCAACTTGATAGCTCTGTCTTGGACTTCCTTCTTTAATTCCAACATTGCACTTCCAAGTGTCTCCAGAATGTCCTCATCTGAATTTAACAAGAAAAGTTTCCATTGTGCTTTGTTTTCTCTAAATGATGCATAGCTGAAGACAGCATTGTTGAAAATGTGCATTATTTTTAGAATAACTTTTTCCCAATAATAAAGCATAAATTAGGGAGGACGAGTTACGAGGCTTTTAAATCTACTGCCCTCATAGCACATTTTTGCATTAATGCTTTCCTGTTTTCTTTCTTTCTTTCTTGGGACGGGGATTTGAACTCAGGGCTTTGAATTTGAAAAGCAGGTGCTCGCAAAGCAGGCGTTCTTCCATTTGAGCCAAGCCTCCAGCCAATTTTGCTCTAGATATTTTGGACATGGGGTCTCAAGAGCTATTTGCCCAGCCTGGTCTCCAACTGTGATCTGATCTCAGCCTACCATGTGGCTAGGATCACAGGTGTGAGCCACTGGTGCCCAGCTTTTCTGCACTTTATTGACATCGTCTTTAATGTTTTGTTGAATGCTCTTCTAAATTAAAGCATTGCATATGTTTCATTTACATCTTTTTAGTAGCTTTCTAATCACATCAAACTTATGTTTCAAAGTTATAAGATTACAGGTTCATTTTTCAGTACTTGTACCGCAACTACCAATGAACTATATTTGGTATTTGTTAGGATAATACATACTTACAACTATAATAACACCATACATCAGTGTAATAGAATAGTGATCATTCAAATCACTCATTAAAGTTTTGCTGCATATGAAAAAAGTGTGATTTCCATGATCTTGACAAAGGGTAATGGGTATTCCTCTTCCAAAGGAAGAGATCATTGAAACAACTGATGGGGGCTGGGACCTGTAGACAAGGAAGGGAAACCAGGAGGTGTCTGGTGGATTGAATAATACCTGGAGACAGAGGAACTGATGTTCTCACTGAGGCTGGAAGTCTAGTTGAGCTGATCAAAGTGAATGAGAGGAGGACAAAAGGTGGCTGGGAGAAAAAAAAAAAAGGACAGGGTAAAGGTAAGGCAATGTCTGCCACCCAAGATGAGGATAATTGTTCCTTAAAGGTGTAACTGTGGGAATCAAAGTTTCCAGAAAAAGGGAGGGTTTTCCAGCTGGGGCTTAGGAAAGGATTTTTCTGAAGAAGAGGATGTTTGGGATGGGTCTAGGAACAGCATTTAGACATGATCTTGACAGGCTGGGGGTTGGGTGGGCAGTGCATACAGGGAGTAGCATGAGCACACATGGGGACAAGAAATGCTAGGGTTTGTTCAGGTAAGATCTGGTAGTTGAATTTGGTTAAAGCATTGTATGTACAGGAAATAAGATAGAGAAGGGGAGGGAAAAGATTTTTAAGGACTTGAATGCCAAGATAAGGAATCTCTAGACTTCATTTCATTCATTAGGGGTTTCTAAATTTTTTGATTATACATCCCATCAGTAAAAGAAAAAAGTGCTTGGGTGGGGCTTGTTTGTTTGTTCGTTTGCAGTGCCAAGGATGGAATCCAGAACCTTGCTCATGCTAGTTCTACCACTGAGCCACATCCCAGCTCGATAGTAGCAAAATGTTTTAGTCTGCATTGCCAATACATGGAAGCCTATTAAGTAATTATACATGCTTTTATCAGCAATTTATTTGCCATTATGATCTGGATCTGGATTGTCCTCCAAAGGCCCTGTGCTACAGGCTTGGTCATAAGGCCAGTGTGGTGCTACTGGGAGGTGTTGAAACCTTTATGAGGTGGGGCATAGTTGGAAGAAGTAGGTCGCTAGGGGTGTGCCTTTGAAGGGTACCTTTTATTCCT